GCTCGGGTTCCGAGTCGGACCTGGAGGATGCCGTCTCCAACGTCGGCCCGATCTCGGTAGCTATCGACGCCTCGCACCAGTCGTTCCAGCTGTACCACAGCGGCGTCTACAGCGAGGCGCGCTGCTCCAGCTCGCGTCTTGACCACGGCGTGCTCGCCATCGGCTACGGTACCGAGGGCGGCAGCGACTACTGGCTGGTGAAGAACTCCTGGGGCCGCTCCTGGGGCGAGGAAGGTTTCATCAAGATGACGCGCAACCACAGGAACCAGTGCGGCATCGCCACCCAGGCCTCCTACCCCACGGTCTAGACGGCGTTCGGAGAGGCGGGAGCGCTGCAGCACGTGCCGTCACGCTGTTGTCCGACCGTCTTGGATGCACGATGATTGTGTTGTGCCAGTCCATGCAGTAATACAAATTGCGTACGCTAATCTCTGTTGTACCTTACCATTTTGCTCGCGCATGTATAGCGCACTTCACGCTAGGTTTCTCGGTCTAGAGGTGGTGACAGACAGGCTATACAGCTACTCACCAGCGATTACCTAACGGCGTCATGCTATCGCCTTAAGAGGAATGTTTCACATTCGAAGATATTGGATGTGATTAAACAAGACACTTATGACTATGAATATGCTTCTAAGGAGACGAGACTGCTTTACACAACACAATTTTTCTGTTTAGTTAAAATGCTCCTCGAAACGACATTGTTTGATTACGTCCTGATCGCCGCAAGGCTTTTGGGACGGCAGGACCTGCATGACGTTATTATGACGTCATGAATGTCAGGGTAAACTTAAATACTCTCCCCAAAATAGTCCCCTATCTTTGCGGGCATTTAGCTCAGAAGCTAGAAGTCTTGAGAAGGGCAGGGCTGTGATCTGCACCGTATGATCTTCCAAATGCCTATTTCATTTCGAAACCTGACACAAATATGGAACACTCCCTTTAAGATGAAAACGCGCTCAGGTGGGGGTCAAATTGACCCCCCCCCCCTCAAAGGCTTTTCCAGAATGGTTTCCGAACCGCGCAGCACAGCCGCACCAAATGTCGCATAGCCGTAGACAGTCAAATAGCGGATCGTTTGATTTAAAAAAATAGATGTACCTTGCAAGGTCGCTGACCTATGGTAGGTCAAAGGCAGGTCATGGTTTCAGCGAGGTCAGTTTCTAGGAAATCGTTCAATCTGATGTAATAACAGAGAGTCAGACGAAGCCATACATCTCTGACATGCTTTCTTAGGCAATACAAATATTAAGTGAGCAAATTACGTTGACCTAAGGTCAGGTATGAAGGTCAGACCAAGGTCAAAGCCAACCTGTTTTATCACTCTGGGGCTTGCTGTATGGGGTAGTTTCTGGTGCTCATTTGTAATTCACTGATCGCAGTAACCGTGTTATACATCTTCCATGGACTTCTTATAGCTCAGGATAGGCCATTGACCTAAGCTGACCCAGGGTAACATTTTGTTTTTAGAGACATACGGACTAGCGTAATCTTTGTCGCTTATTCACACGCAACACTTTAAAGAGTTTTGTATGATTCTGACCACCATGACCTTCAAAATGTCAAACACTGTCACTGACCTAAAATGAGCATGCGACCTTTTCCTTAGAAACGGTTAGCTAGGTTCTGGGGCCCTTTTGGAGACCAACCTGGAATTTGACCTTATTTGACCCAAAGGTCATGACCTAAGAATATCAAGCTTTGACCTAAGTGAGTTAACGTACAGGTCAATACGCCCAGTAAATTTGGTGTCTCTAGCTTTCTCAATTCCCGAGATCTCAGGGGGTCAAAATGAACCCTCACCCGAGCAAAGAGTATCTAGCCGGCCACCCGCGCGCGTGTTAATAACCACATGATCCTGTCGTCCGGAGAGGTCTTCGCCGAACGTTTCCCAAGGGTATATTTATTTCCAGCGCCATTCAACTTCTGTGGTGTTCATTTATCGACACATGGAGTGCAGGAATCCATGCATGAAATTGTCACATGGAATGCAGACGCCCAAGTCCTCGGTCAGTAATCGCTGTCTGGTGAGTTTCACCAGCGTAGGCGGCCGGACGCTTGAAATCTTATTATTCTTTAGTAGGCGTCTGAAAAATATGAACGGCCAATGGCAGAATGGCTAGCACATTTTTGGCTTGTGAGTCGCATGCGGAGACCCGAACGCACTTTGTATTGTGCTTTGTATTGTCCTGCCTTTGAGGTGCAAGAGATCCTGCCACTCCAGACTCCGCCTAATACCGAATTGCAATAGAGACATATCAATGCACGAAACTCTCGGATATCGCTCCGACGAATCGTTCTATAACCAATGCTTCGAATGGCAGATGTGAAATTTGGTGGTCTACGCTTTGCATTTCAATTGACATGAAATCAGAGGCTCCAATACTGAAGAGCATCAGTGCATAGCTTCTGCATACCTGATATCGATTCAAGTCGGTTTGTATATACTGCTCAGGCGGCTGGAAAACACTTCGCAATCTTCGAGCACGAAAATGCAGTTATCTGGCGAGCTGCAGCATTGTGAACCTATGCAAGATGTGCTTGTGCTGCGTGGATGTGTCTCAAACAGTAACTCAATAACACCACAATTTCTATGTGTCCAAAAGTAGACGGCATCTGCTAACGTCCACCAAGAGCCAATGTGCCTTGCCCCATTACCTGTCATTGGTTGCAGTAAGCACAGCGGTACCAATTGTGCTGACATGTGTCTCGAGCCGCTCAATGTCCTGATCTCGTAAAAAAATATATGCCCACATATAAGCGGTAGGCATCAAATGTTGCGTTTGACGTCATTTCTTGCGCAATAATTAATCGGTGCAGGCCACCCAGTATGTGGAGCTGGCGAGGTTTGCGTCACTACCTGTTGAGGTCGTCGAAGCCTGCGCGGAAGCAAACACGCTTGAGTGTCAGATGCGAACCATTGAAGAGGGGGACCGCGGGTGCAAGCACCTTCATGCCACGAACTACCCACGCGCCTATGGCGAAGAGGTGTGGATGTGATGTGTGCTGACAAATACTCTTGCCCACACGGCACAGCAGCGCACCGAACTTGCCGGTAGCAGTCCATCCCGTTGTCATCAGAGCCCACCAAGTGCATGGGTGAAGAGGTCTGCGTGTGGGGCCGGCAACACCATCTCAGGCAGCACTCAGACCAAGCAGGGATATCGAATGGGCTCAAATCCTCCACGGACCCGGTGTTTCAAGCCTTCAGTTGCGGGGTGCCCCTCATCCAGCAGCATTGATGGTGGAGCACACATCACCTGCACACGCGGCGAGTACCACTTGACACACCTGTTGCACCTCCGCCTGCCCCCCTATCAACAATGTTTAATGCTTTCACTTCTAAGAGCGTTGATCTGTTCGGAAAAATCGAATGTCGTGCGATTTTGATAAATGGCCAGGTAGTTCTTATAATTTTAAGAAGGGGTGCATGCAACAAGCTACCCCTCCCATACGCACACCTTGACATAGCGTAATTTCGGCACCCATTATCACTTTGCTTCGGCATTTATTAAATTTTTGGCCAACATCTAACGCATACTGTCAGTGTAATGCAGTGCGTATTGCCTTGAAAGTTTCTTGCAAAACTTCTGGACAGATCATCCATTAAAATTTAAAAAAGCATTCGCCATTGTGGCACCTGCGCAACGCTGCCTGTAGTTACCGGCTGTCAGATATGAATTATGACTTAAAAATTTGGCTCACGTGGTGCATTAAGTGTATTTCTTGTTTTACGTTGCAGTTCATGTACTTAATTTCGCCCTATCTGGCATCTTTTATTCGGGTTGAAAGTATCGCGATAAAGAAAAAATCGAGACGTATTTTGTCATTCGGGTGAAGTGAGTTGTTAATCAGCAGCATTACAAAGGAAGCAGGTGACATGGTGGCAGTATCAGAAATGACTGATAAGGTCATTTGGATATTTATGGGCGTCGACGTGCGAAACTGCGAACCAGGCATCATTGCAGCCATATATACTTCTACCTCTGTGTAGAGTTGACTTGCAGTGGGATGGGTGTCTTCGTATCACCCATTTATTGAGCCATGGATCATAAAACGTGGCACCATATCACGAGATCTGTCTTTTGTCTTCGCCATTGAAGCTCCGGTAGCCGGGCTGCCGACGGCGGTGATGACTACCGTAGTGACTTGATAGCCTCCTCCCTTCCAACTGGACAAGGAGCTACACCCTGGCTTCGTAGTGAGTGAAAATGGTGCAAAGACAGCAGCGTCGATTGTTCACCCAAGTCTGGAATCACTCCTGCCAACAGAAATAGTACAAACTAAGAAAAAATGATTGAAAGTGAGATGGAATAGAATCAAACTTTGGATTAAAAAGGAGGTGATTTTGTAACAAAAAGTCATCGGAAATGGACGGGAAATATATCATTCGCGCAGAACTTTGTCCATGTATTCCTCAAAAACACAGCTTACGATCGGAATAAAGTGGCGCTTACTCATATTACGTATCCCCTCACGGCGATTGTGTGAAGTTGTCGGTGTATTGTACGCTTCCAGTACTTAGGCAAATATGCTCATACAGTGACATTTTCAACGTCTGGGACGATGTGTAGCATGCAACAAGCTGTGACATAATATCATACGTCCGCCGGCAATCATGCTTGACACCATGTTTAGGACGCGCTACAGACCAAACTGCAGACCGTGTTCACGACACTTAAAACGATTTGGTTCAAAAGCTCGGCAAGCAACTCGCTGTTCTTGAATGGAGCATCAGCACGCTACCGCCTAGGTGTCTTCTGGACGGGGTGGGGCGAGAGGGGGCTGACGTTGCTTCAGGCGTGGCTGCCGGGCAGAGCCGGCGGCGGTGGGCCTGCGCAGATCGTGCGTTCGGCGGGCCGGAGGTGGCAGCGGGGCCGGTATACCTGGCCGGTGCGGCGGTGGCTGCCGCAGTCGCCGAGCGGGCCGGCAGACGTGGCAGACCGACCCGAGGCGCGCCGACACTCCGAGGACAGCCGGCCGTACCAGCGCCCCCGCGCCGCACCGAGACGGGATGATGGTCAGTGGCCGGCGGCGGCGCCGCACCGGCCCGCCCGCGGCGGCGCTCGGCGCCGAGGCGGCCGCCCTGTAGGCGCCGCTCCAATAAAGACGTGATTGAGGGAAGGGAGTACCCCACCTTTTTTGGACTTCTTGTGCAGCATAAGTTGTTTAGTCCGATTTGGCTGCTTATTGTTAGATTGGACGTGCACGATTTGACCTGTAGTACTTGTTTTCTAAAAATGTTTTGAATAGTTCAGAATTTTGACTTGAAGTAGCCGCTCTCACGGGAAAAATATCATTGGACTCCCTGCTCATCACCATGAAACTAATACACTTTACTTGTTAGACATTTCCCGACATTGTCACGTATGGTCCCTAACATACCAAACGGCAACAATGCTTGTGCAGTAAATGGTCCGGCAAATGACAAATATTTTATTTAGGGAAGAAGATATGCAATGAAGTGAATTCAACGAAACGCCCGATATGGCTTGTATTTTTCGTTCTTTGGCTATGGGAACCAATGTTTACTTGGGTGCTCAATTTGTTGCAACTCGCAAGGCTCTGTTTACAAAGCAGGTATAGACCTACGACATATTCCGTGACTTAATCACGCCATCTTTCGAAATCCAATAATGCACTGCTCACAAAACATTAACCCTGTACGCTGTGGCGATCACAAATGTCCGTTTTTGCTGACGTCATCCATGCCCAACCCACATGCTTATATCAAATATATCCGCCTCGGCAGTCGTGGTGGCGAGAACAACCACGTAATATAACTTGACGTGTCTAGCTCCACCTTGCCACAAACAGTTTTGTCCTGAGCAGCCCAGCTTTACCCGACATTGAGTGATGGCAACAATTTTGAGCTATGGCTGGGGTTAACTGAGCAAAGCAAAATTGGGCAAAACTTATTCACCTTTGGTAAAAATGGTCCTAACACTAGCAATTTTGCACGGAAAAATATAAAAACCGTGCGTCCTGTGGAAAATAGTGTGTGGGCTGTGAAATGCCATCGGCTAAATTGGGGACACGTTTCCTTTGCCTCCCCATCCACCGATGTTGTCACCCGTGGCAACTATAAATTATCAGTGGAAAATGTCATAAGAACATAGACAAGTGCAATGTAAGCCAGGTGAGTAGCCGATGCGGTATAACTGCTTTCGGGCCGTAAACAATTGTAGAAAATAATTCTGGAAGGAAAAGATTTTACCGAGGATTTTAGGAAAGGATTTTACCACACTGTGAACTTATTGCATGAGATTGAACAATTTATGAATAAATACAAAATGGTGTAACTGAAACAAGTAGGAACGCAAGAAAAATAATTGTCATATTGTTAGTAGATCTCTGAAAACTTTGCGGGGCTCACCAATTGTTACATCAATGGTAGCCGTGAAGAAGAGTGGAGCACTAGATGTGCAAAAATAAATATGAGCATTGTTAATTCACAGTTCGATAAATGACTGGCTTTTTGGTTAAAAGAACACACGTATTTACTTTAAAAGCTGCCATGCCCACCTGCCATGCCCACGGATTTAATGACTGCGTGCTTTCACAAAGCTACTCCACTTAAGTTGAAGTCAATGAGGTCCAAGCTGCCCGGTTCCAATCCCCTCGCCCCTGGCTCGAGTGCACGGACAACTATGCAGCACATCGTGTGGATTAATGATCCATACTCGCCAACTGTACTGGCAAAAGACAATAGATTTGGAAAACGGCAACACTCAATCCAGTAAGCCTTTTTAAAGTTTGATATGCTGGCAACAGCACAGCTTACCTGGACAGTCTGCTTTTCAGCGATGCTTCTTCCTCAGCCAAGCTTCTATGCGACATTAGTACACTACGCTACAGTCCATACTCCACAAATTATCACCGCCAGTGCTTTATCCCAAAGGTTTAAGGAACGTCCATATTTGCGTGGGGTTTTGAACCGAAATAGCCATCTTGAGGATCATTCAGTGCAATTCACAGCCTTGTTGCTCTTCTTAAGACCTAGGGTTTTTTCTAGTTTCTGAACTACACACCTGCAAATGTGTGCAGAATAATTCGGTGGGGCTATTTCAACGTCATCCAGGCATCCATGACGCTATAATAACGTCATTGAAATCCTGCCATTCCATAAGGCATGCGGCGACCGTGACGGATAGAAATGTAATTGTCGAGCCATTCATATACGGCGCTCGTTAGCACCATTTTCAGATATAACGGCCGTCAACTTGCTCTCAATCAATGTTGTGCACGGTACGATAATGTAATCAATGACATATTGGGGGGGGGGGGGGGTAAATTTACTAGACAGAGAAGCCGTGTGGTCTAGAGCCGTCCTTTTCACTTAAAAGTATACTGATCGTTATAAGCGAGCTTCTTTCATCATATCTGATGCTTGCTTCAATATCTTCCAGTGTGGGACAATCCCTTTAAGAAGAGCACGCTGTGAACTGCACCAAATGATCTCCCAGCTGGCTATTTCAGTTAAAAATTCCATACAAATCAGAGGGATGGCATCTTTTTCGTGCATATGCTTCCTAGCAACTACTGTCAGCAGTGTTAGATCAGGGGGATGGCATCTTTTTCGTGCATATGCTTCCTAGCAACTACTGTCAGCAGTGTCAGATCAGGGGGATGACATCTTTTTCGTGCATATGTTTCCTAGCAACTACTGTCAGCAGTGTTAGATCAGGGGGATGGCATCTTTTTCGTGCATATGTTTCCTAGCAACTACTGTCAGCAGTGTTAGAAATAGTGGTGACCGAAACCGTCCAGGTATTGATCTTCTGGCACAACTGTCTTGTCTCACAAAATATCAGGGACGACAAGAAATGGATTTGGTACATCTTTTTGTCAATACATTTACATTTTCCTGTGAATCTTCGACTAACTTTCAAGAACGCCGAAAAACCTTACTTTGAAACATGGAAGTTCAGGCCATTAAACCTGCATTGCCCAGCGGGTATTGGATGAATGTGATGGAAATGCGGCAGAGCTTCCCCAAATTTATTTTGTGTTTGCTTCTTTCTATTGCTTCTCTGTATTTTTTTGTAAATAGTTTAGGCGTCGCACAGAGCCGTCCGATGGCCATAAGATCGTTACGCGGTTCAGGAGCTTAAGATTACGTTTGGTTCGGGTCTCGACTTCTCCGGCCCCTTTCAAATCGCAACTGAGCCCACCGGCGCACGCTCGGCCCCCTCCTCCTTCTCCCACTTCCACCTTACTTTGCCATATTTATATGGATCCCTACAAAATCACACATCACGCTAATGAAAATCCCGCGAAATGGAAGGATCTTGGAAAATCCAATATCTTTGCACTTCTCCCCAATTTCTGGCCCCCTTTTGCCGCACAGTTCCCGATATGAATGGAAAGCATGCCAACACATGAACCTAAATGTACTTTTCTTTTTGGACCGGCAAAACAACGGGGCCCACATAAGAAGAGAATGGGCATTTATACTTAATGTTGGACTCAATTACATTCATTTAGCACCTTTGGGCTTCATTAATAATTACGGTGCCCCAGGTTAATAAATCCGGTTCCCAATCCTTCCTTTAACAAATTTGGCGAAACCAGTGTTGTGGTGGGATTATATGACCGCTAAAAAGCATTAATCATGGCACACGTTCCCGAGCACCCGTTCCCCCAAGCCACATAATTCAAACCATAATATTTATACAGATGTCCTATATTTCTGGCATATTTCTTGTCGCGGGTTGTATAAAGACTGACGCAAAACCGGCATCCCGGGTGATTCCACGAGAATACCTTCTGTACGGGATCCAGATTGGAGCAGACAGGCCTCGCGCTGCGTCAACTGGCACCTCCCATCATTTCTTGGAACCATATCGGCTGTACTCTTTTAATGACCTAGGCATTAAATGAGATTGTGAACTTGACCGGACGTCACTGACTTATCATTGCGATGGTCCAGTGGTCTTCGTACAATATGCTGATTAAACACTCGAAGACATGCACATCGTGGACGGCGGCATAAACAAGATCATCAGCTTTAACATGTCATGCACGTGTATTCAGATCGACAGGACACACCTTAGCACACACAAAGCACACCGTCTAAACCAGGTATAACTCACCACGTCCAAAAGACTTCTCACAAACACAATAATATAATATTCACAAGCTGTACAAGTGATTTGTGCCGCCGATGAGTACAGCATCAAGCACGGTGTACAGTTTCCCGTCCCCAGGCAAACACATCATCATCATCAATCGATCAAATACATCATCAAATGCCATCATCACACACCCTCGCATCAAGTTATCCCGCTTCCGTAGTCACAAGCAAGACAAAGGCCGCGCAGCGTCAAATCGGACTCCTTCCCAGCCCTACGTACAGTTACAGCCTGAGTCGGACCGGCACTCGGGACAGGCATGCAGCGAGCGGCTGGATGCCCCACGACAAGCATTGCATGTTCCTGTGCACGTCACCTCCACTCTTCAGTACCCTGCAAACATCGGATATCTTACACACTTGCTCTAACACATTTAGCCTTAAATGCATGCCATCACCTCGAACTCTGTGCTTGGAACGATTAGAAAGGCCTCAGACGGTAAAGCCCCACTAGTCTATAGCCAAATCAATATACTGAAAGGCCCGGGTATTCCTACAAAAAGGCGCCTGATGTACATGCAATGATCAAAGCACTGAAATCAGAGAAGACAGTCTGCGTGAGGACTTTCTATGGTGCGTTGTCTGTTTAACCACCACACTTGCCATTTCACGGCATCAACTTGACAGGACATATTCTGCGCTCGATTTTGCTCGTCGCAGTCCTGCAATCTGTGCGGCGCTGCGTCACGACGCTGTCCCCGATCCCGACGGTACAGGTGGCCACCCCTTTCGGTCTTCGGAGGATGACCGGCGAACACCCACTTCCATCCGCGAAGTGGACAGCTCTTTCGCCCCTTCGGCCGAAGGACAGGGATGGTGGCCACGTTTTTCCTCTGACCTAGTTGGCGCTGCGCAGCAGAGTCGGCTCTGGCAGGCGACGGAGAACG